AAGTGATCATCTTCATCACAAAAACTAGAGCCAATTGACAATACTGTTATCTCCTGCAATTTGTAACCAAGATTAACGATGTGCAAGTTATAATCTGGGGTAAACTTCTAATTGAGAACAATTTACCTCTAAGCACGACCACAATGCAAATGGATGATAATATAATTTGATGATCTTAGTGAAGTTGTTACGCTGCTGGCTAAATGATTTATGTTAATTTTAAAGTCCACTGGAACAATCTTATATTTGAATAACTATGAACAGATGGAAATCAAGAAATGATACTGCCTTTGACACATAGACATTTGTTTTCTCTAGATAATGCTATTAGATAATGAGGTCTTTTAAAACTAACTATTCACACTTTCTATTGTTTTAAGATTAGAGTTAACTTTATAACATTTTAATACATGAAGAATTTTCCCAGTTGGCTAAACACAATACACCAAATCGTATCACAGCCTTTATAAGTTTTTAGCTCTAAAATGTACAGCCAATTTATGTATCATCTTCATGGGTTCTGCTGCAATTCAATTTTAATTTATCTACTAGCATTCAAATTGGTCTACCGGCATACTAGGAAACTTTACTATACCAGGACACAAAATTTCAGGCCTGCAGACATTGTCAGACTGCAGCTTCCTGAAGCCTGTCATCTTCCATCATTTTAAATGGTGAATGGTGCTCTGCTCAACTGTTATGAATACAGTGCATGCTATTCATGGATAGAGAAGAAGGAGAGGGGCCCTGCCCTTTCCATTTCCAGGTCCACTGTCCTCGTGTAAGTGGACGGCAATGAGTCGAAAGGGGGAAGGTCGGCTCTCCACTGATACTTTTCTCTGTGGGTCACAACCCTTGAAACCAGGGTCCTGACTGGAGTGAAGAGTGTCCATGGATATTCTGCTTCAAACATCATTTTAACAAGGGTGGTAAAAACCAGGAATGAAAAAGGCAGGACCAGAGCACTCCCTTCTACCCATGGTGAGCATATACAGTACTACTATATTCTTTAGTGCCTGAATGAACTTTAGGGTTGGTAGGAGTTGCAGGCCAAGCATATCTGGTGGTCAACCAGTAGCCTGTCCTTGAAGAAAAGAGAGGATACCTTTGAAACTTAGAATTTAACTTTTGAAAACTATGACTTCCACACAGAAGCTGATCTACTTATTCCTTCTTCCAGTGTTATGCTGCTCATGAGAATAGACCAACTAATGAGAAATATAAAGCACAAGTGTGACAGTAAAGGTTAACATCTATATATTCTTTTGGGTAATAGGAACGACTACAAACTTCCTCACATTGTCAGCTTGAAAGAAAATTTTGCAGTCAGAGTTTACATTACAGTGGTGAAAATAATGAGCATATTTTGAATGGTACTTGTTTCAGTGTTCTCTATACTTTCTGAAGAGAAAAGGAGGTATTAAGGCTCATTAACCAATGAGTACTACAGAAAATATTGTTTATAATATAAAATATTGTTCCTTCCAGTGGCGTTATTTTGGAGGATTAGGAGCATGTTGATGGAAGGGTTACAGAAATACCAGAACAATCCTTTTTTTCTACCAAATCTCTCACTGTCATTATGTTATTGATAAAAAATATATTTGCAGTTTTACATGCTTTAAACATCCCCTTATTTTTCATGTTTGATTTGAGATAAAAATGTGGAATGACCACCCCCTGTGCTTCAACTTTAGAATGCATTCTCTGAGCCTAGCCCACAGTGGAAAGCAAGGGAACTGCTGTCTTCTCTCTTTTAAGGGTTGGCTTTGAGTCCTTTCAGATGTGTTAGACTACAACTCCCATCAGCCTAAGACAACATGTGCAAAGGTCAGGAATTAAGAGAGTCATGGGCACAAAGTAGAAGATGCCTGCTCTAGCAGGATCAAAGACTGATAGATCTTGAAAGCTGGAGTAAATGCTGCAAGGGGTTCACTTCTATATGTAATTCTCTTTCTGCTTAGTATTCCTGGTATCTGGTCATAATTTTGCTGGTGATCATGAAGATCACCAGCAAAATTTCTATTATCAGAAAACTGAATGCTAGAAAACAATGTAGAAAATTTAGTGTTCACAATCGCTTCTCTAAGCATTGCCAGAGAGTCTCTAATCCCAATGTTTCCTTTTGCTTCCACATGAATTCAGATGATCACTCTGTAAGAGTTAAATTGCAGGACATGTATCTGGACAGTATGTTGTGCAAAGAATCACAATATTGAAGCTGTGGTCCAAGACATTTGCTCTACATAGTACTATGCTTGAAAGCATTTGAGCCCTGCCACCACAGCCCCAACCTTCGAGGCATGGAGGCCTTCCTGTGTTTAGTGCAAAATTCTGCAAGGGAGCCTATTAAAGCCTGTTCAGCTGAACATCCTTATAGAGCTTGTGTGACTGGGAAGCCCAATAACAGAAGATTCCTAGCCATGGGAGCTCTGTAAATCCATTCAGCTGACTACAGCCTCCTCTGAAGATCTTTGAACTATGTGTGATTTTCAAGGTGGTTTAGGGACATGGGGGGGGGAGAGGTTACATGTATACCCCATCCCACCTCATATTCATGCTATCAGATATAATGCCAGGGGCAGAGCAAATTTGAGAAGCAGTAGGATATTGGAACAAAGATTACAGCATGTTACCGTTTTGGTTTAAACAGATTCTAACTTCCAACGGTTAGAGGCTTTCAAAAATTATTGGTTGAAAAGTAGGTTATAGATGGAATAATAAATTAATTTGTACATCCCAATTTATTCATCCCTAAAATAAGGTGACATAGGACTTGTGGGATGCTCCTATAAACATGTACTGAAAAAAATGGGAAAAGTCACTCTGTACTAGGTTTGAATTTGTCTGGCTTCTTTGCAATGGGGAGTTTACACTAAACATGTCAATTTTTAACTAGCTTTTCTTACACATTTTTGAGAACACATTCAAAATTCTTTGAGGGAGATTCCAACCTATTTGTGATTCTAATCACAACATCAAAAGAAAGCATTCATTATTTGGAGGCGAAAAGAGGCTAACTCTGCAACTGCAAATGCCTAGGACAGTTTTAAAATGTACCTTTGGTCTAGATGGGTGGGGTAGAAGTCTAATAAAGAAATAAATATAAAATAAATATTTTTAAACTGAGAAAAACTATCACTCAGAAAAGTACCACACTGCCAGTGATGCACTAATCCAGGTGCTAGCAGGCCACAAATTAAATGAATCCCACAGCACAGTGTGGTTTAGTTCACAAAACTGTTGCTTGACCTAGACTACTAATTCAGTACTGAACACTACCTAATATTTTCAAGATGAACACCAGAGGTATGCATGAATCAATAGCCCAGTATAAAACCACACTTTCCAAAGAATATTAAGAATTTTGTCACCACTATTTTTACAGGTGACTGCTCTGTTGGCAAAGCTATTACACCTCAGCTAAGATGTCATGAGATGACAATGCAATTATTCCAACCAGTGATTTAAGACAACTAGACAACTATAAAGCAGAGAAGAAATTTCAGAGTTTGCTATAACCTGCACACTTCTCCATTCAAGGGTAACTTCTGAGACAAAGTGTCTAAGACTAAAATTCAAGTCTAAGCACATCATTACATTAGTTGAGCAAACGGCGCTTCATCATTAAGTAAAAGAGTACTCTCATTAAACCACACTCTCATTTCATAGGGCTCTGGCTCCAGACCAGGTGGATTATGTTGCTGAAATTAGAGTAACACCACAACCTAGACAGAAGCATCAAATAACACATTGACCGCCATAAGTCAACCCTTTCAAGCACAAGGATAAAAAGCTAACAAATGGATTAGACCTGAGTAAATGAGGAAGATACAGAGATAAAATTGGCTCCCCACCTTTATGAAATGATAACGACAGTACAATATATGCTCAATATACATCCCGCTGTGTAAATCAATTAGTTTGTTGTCATCAGAAGCAGATCAACTTTACCTTCTGCCATATTAACCTGCTAGTTGTAACAATTAGCTATCTGTCTGTAAGAAGCAGAAAAGTCTGTACTCGTAGCTCGACCTGCAAGGCACATGACAATTGAAGACTGTCACAACTGTATCTGAGATATAGTTTTAACTCCATTAAACTACATCAGCAACAGAGATTATGATGTGGGGCACACCTAGTTTACTTCTATATTTAGACACATTTTGCACATGTTTACTTCCATCTGACATTCCCAACTCTTTCCAAAAGTTATTCCTTCAAACTATTTTGTATTCATATAAACTACTTATTTCTCTAAAGAATAAATTAACCTCATGTGTTTCCTCTGCACAGCTTTCCAATTAACTTAATAGATGGATCAAATGGTGCCTCATTAAAGTAAAAGACATTCTCTTGTTTCTTGATAACAGTCCTTTCAACTATTTCCTTCTAACAAAAATACTCACAGAGCAGCCAAATCTATAATGAAGGCATCTTTCCCAACACCACACTATGGAATAGAAAACATATACAGACTTGCACTGCAGTTGTGAACAGACAAGAATTTTAAAAGCAAAGCAAGACAAGCAAACACAGGCATGCCACAGGAGTTAATATTCAGAAGACAGTTTTTAGAGTGTGAGAGAAGACTTCAGCATCTTCTGAAATAAATGGTTACTACCACTTCATTACTGCTGGCTTCCGGCTATAAACCTCAAAGCAGATAATTCATATGCTAGATACATTACTTTGCTCTTTGAGAGAATCTCCACTTTTCAGGTGGTTTACCATCAATTCCCATTTAAAGTGGGGGAGAAATAACTTACTGAATAGCTAAAAGTTTCATGCTTAGCCAATACAGGGTTATGCATTAAGTTTCACCCACTAAGCCTGTTTACTGTATGCATCTCACACAGAAGAAGAACAAGGTTCCTTTTCCCTCCTCGCTTCAAGATACACAAGATAAAGTGAAGAAGCACAGTAATCTCTTTGCACAAGAAACATGCAGCATAATCATCGCCCAAATAAGAACATTTTTAATAAGGAAAAAAAAATACCTTTTCATATTAGATCAGAAAGCCACAAAAAAACATTCTCCACATTCTGCTGTGCACTCCAGCTGCTTTAGTCATCACAAGTAACTAGCCATATACTCCAAGCAAGAATTTGTGTGCCCTCTATCTGCAGCTATTAGCTCAGCACATTGATTCACTGGCATTAAAGCAACAGCAATTAGGTGTCCTGCTCTCAGCAGCTACTGGAGAGACAGAGAGAGCTGAGTGGGCTAAACTCTACAGTGACCACTGAGCTCTTGCCGGCAATTAGTAGCAGGTGCTCCAGCCCTAAGACAAATTGATCTCCTACTGATAATCAGCACTAGCTCCTCCAATGTCCTGTGCATTCAACCAGCCTTTGCTAGGGGCTCTTTGTTTGTTTTTTTCTCTTTCATCAGTAACAAAGGAGTGCAGTAGCTTATGTTCATTTACAACATATCATTTGACCAGAATGGAGTAATCTTGTTAAAGCCTCTCAGCACAGGCAGTATGGACAGTTAAGTCCACCCTGTGGTAAATCTGTTAGGTAAATAAATAAAAAATTAAAGATGTGGCTTCCTTTTTAAGAGTTCTTTTCTCTTTTGTTTGTCATTTCTAAAATAACAATAAAGATACTGCTGTCTAAAAATCTAAAGCATTTAAAATTTGAAATTATTTCTATCAATATTTATTTGAAATGTATGCAGCAACCCAAAGGCACAAGCTGTTTGCATTTAGGGAATCTTCCAATAATGCCCTGTAAGAATATCAGGGTATCTGAAGATGGTACAGTGGGCCAGAATAGATGATAAGATTCCTTAACTGTATTTTAAGAGATGTTTTTGCTCCCTAATTACCTACTGTGCCTGTCTCATCCTCAAAACCATGAGATGTCCATGACAAAAAATATATAAGTTTGTAGCTGAGCAAATGAGCATAAAAATTCAGTGTGCACAGGCCCAGAATGAACAGGGTTGATTCTGCAATGAGTAGGCTAAGAAGCAAGAACTGTCACTTAACCATGTATAGGGAAGTGCACAGAGACTGTATTGTTTTATCTATTCTAATGAATGAAATCAAAAAGAAAAGGACAGCTTAGACTAGATGGGATGGCACTTTATCTTATGCCCCATGTTCTTTGTTTTAAACACACAGGCACTTGAGATATTATCAACTGCAGGTATTCCAAGAGATAATAATATTCTAATTTATACCACATCTCAAGAATTCAAAGCACTTTCAATAGTAACCCTCATACCAGTCCTGAAAGTGTTATTATTCCTCCAAGACAGATCAGAAAGAATGGCACTTATAGATGCACACTATGATTTGCCTAATGGTACTCACTCATTTCAGAGTTGAAAAAAATAGACAACTTACTCTCAATTTACAATCTTAGGGATGATCCTTGTCAACTTCTATGTTTCTGCCACATGCCTCAAATCATTCTGTGGTCACATGGCATCTTCATTGTGTCATCTGTGTTTATGCCCACTAGTCAGTCTGCATTTAGGATTGTAAACAACACCTCTCAATACGTAGTTCTCCTGTGAATGTTTTTTTCTAAAGAACTGGAATTCTTACAACAGGAGCAACACTACAGATGGCATAGAAACTGATTTATTTTGCCCCACTGCCATCTCTGGAGATTTTTCAGTGTTTTGAAGTATATGTATTATACAGTAGTATGGAACAGACATATGTTGCTTGCCTTCAGATCTCTGAAATCACTATACTCTGTCTCAGGTTTGTAAATCACAGTACCTATTTTCAGTCTGTAAAAAAAACCATATACTATTGTTATATGCTATAATTTGGAACTTGGAAGGCTTGATACAAAATTTAACATATTCCAGCCTATTCAATATACTTCAAAGGCAGAACAAGCTGAAAAAGATTAGGCTGATGACAGTGGAATGCAAAATAATCATTAGTGCATATATGTAAGTGATTAAATGGAAGCCTTATTTTGAGGATATACAAATAAAATGGCACTACTGCACACAAACTACAAATCATATGTAACTGGAGAATGTGTTAAAAATAACGGTGAAGTCTGCATATCCTCAGATAATAGCACAACAAAAAATTCTGCTCCTGGAGATATTAGATATAGATGTAGTGCTCCATTTAATCAAGGAGACATGTGTACTTTTAAAACCTAAAGCCAAACTATACATGACACTCCCCTTGCAATTAGCTGTTCTCCAATCATATGGGTGAAGCACCAGATGATTGGAGGAGTGCTGGCATTGTTGCAATCTTCAGAAAGGGCAAAAAGGAGAAACCAGGGAACCGCAGATTGTTTAGCCTGACATCAATCCCAGGAAAAATTCTGGAACAGATTATAAGGCAGTCACTCTGCAAGCACCTTGAAAACAATGCAATAATAACTAGAAGCCAACATAGAATTGTAAAAAACTAATCCTGCCAGACTAATCGTATCCCATTTTTTTGATTGGGAAACCTCCCTGGTAGATGATGGGAGCACTGTAGACACAATGTATCTTGACTGCAGCAAAGCCTTTGACAAAGTGCCCCATTATACAGTATCCTGATTAGCAAGCTAGCCAACTATGAGCTAGATAGAGTAAATGTCAGGTGGATACACAGTTACAGAATTGTTCTCAAAGAGTGCTTATCAATGGCTCCTTCTCAAACTAGGAGATGGTAGCAAGGTACCCCAAGGCTCAGTCCTGGGACCTGTCCTCTTCATCATTTTATTAATGACCTGGGTGAGGGAGTGTAGCAATACAGTATACTCCAAATTTGCAGATGGCACAAAATTAGGTGGAACAGTTAATACCCTGGAAGACAGGGACAAAATTCCAAAAGATCTGGATAGACTTTAGCGCTGGGCTGAAAACAATAAAATGAAATTTAACAGGGATAAATTCAAAATTCTACACATGGGTGGGGAAAAAAACACAGTTACAAGATGTATGTTTGTGAGAGAGGGGGGCTTGATTTGCTCAGTAATACTACTAGTGAAAAGGATCTTGGAAATGTTTCCAGGCACCATTCAAAGTGCTAGTTTTAACCTACAAAGCCCTAAATGGTTTGGGTCCAAGCTGTCTAAAAGACCACATCTCTCTCTATGAGCTTGCCCAGGCTTAAGATCATCAGGAGAGGCCTTTTTTTTCAGTCTCACCACCCTCATAGGTAAGTTTGGTGGGTACATGGAATATGGCCTTGTGGCGATCTCCTCTGAAGCCCCTATTCCCCCAGGACTTCACAAGGTTCTGACTCTTCTTATTTCTTTGCTGTCACCAGGTATTGCTGCCTTGATACCATTTAATCAAGAAGACGTGTACTTTTAAAACTTAAGTTCATTTATTAGATCAGGGAAGATAATATATGATTAATATTCAATAGGTAAATCACAGGTTGATAATCACTAGTATTTGAATCAAAAGTGCTATAACTATAAACCTCTTTTAACTCTCTATTCTTTCCATCGTTTTCACAGACCTCTAACTCCCTCTTAGTTCACTCTTGAGTTTCACACTGTCTCTCACTACAAGACTCTCCCTCAGACTCCATCCACCAATCTTTATATCCAACCCCCTCCCCCCATATCCAACCCCCTCCCCCCTTGGTTCCGCCTTCCGCCCTCTCATTGGCTCCTTCTCCACTGTTCTGCTGTGACGGACTGGTGAGGGCAGGGCTGTTTGCTACAGGCCTTCTCTGTCACTGCTCCCAGATTCTGAAAATCCCTCCCACAGGAAGCCAGGCTGGCCATGTCTCTGGTGTCCTTCTGCAGACAGGCTTTTTCTTAATGACTGGTGGTTTGTTCTAAATGGATTGTTGTGCTCTGTTGTTTTTAAATTTGTTTAAGGTCCTGTGGTCTCTAAAGCCCTATATGGCTTACAACCATGCTATTTTATATACTGTTTTCCCAGAGTAGGCAGAGCAGGTCTTTGGGAAAGATTCTTCTCTTGGTCCCATCACTTTTGGAATGCGTGTAATGGGGATATGAGAGAGGGTTTTCAAGTTGGCAGCTCTCAAATACTTTTCCAGCAAAGAAAAAAAACTACATTGGTCAGCCATTCTTCCAGCAGAAGAGATGACTTTGATATCTGAGTTGAAATTGAAATTATTTTAATGGGTTAGACATTTTTCCCCTTCCTTCCTTCCTTCCTTCCTTCCTTCCTTCCTGTTCATGTGCTTTGAATTGTGTTTTCACTCTATTTTATTTATCAAATCATCTATCTTTTGATTCAAATTGCCTTATTGTTAGCTGTCTTTTGTGTTCAATTGGATATTTTTTTACAGAAAGCAGTGGTGTAAAAGGAAGGAAGGAAGGAAAGGGTGGCTCCTCATAGAAAGTAAACAAAGGCAAAATCATAATAGTCTTCACTTGTCTCATCTTCAGACATGAGAAAAGGCACGGAAAAATTATTCTCATTCTTTTATGAGATGGTGAGATATATTCTTGCAGACTTGGAAAGAGAAGGCAGTTAAAAAAAAATTATTGTGCAAATCAACCTAAATTACTCACTCCATACTTTAAAACAAATAACATTGTTATTAATGCAAATAACATAAATTGCACAAAAATAACAATGGCTGTCCATTCACTTGCCAGGATCAGAAGCAGCAGAGTGGTTATTTCTATTTTTTCTAAAATAAAAAAAAAATACAGCCAGTCACTTCGTATCTGCTATGTCTGTATTACTTCTGAAAGGAATAGACACTGTTTGGGCACAAAAGCACTATACACAAATAATGGAGACTCTGATAAGGGGAAAGAAAAAAAAAGCACCCCTTGGCTTGCTCTAACTTGAGGGTCAGAAGTCCTACAGAACTTGAAAATTTCTCATTGAAGTGTTTTATCCTATTAAGGCAGCCAGAACCTATTAGAAGAAAGAATTCAGCAAACATTCTTCACATCCCCAGTAGTCTCTATTTCTTGATCCTAGTGAGTATTTCAGAACACTGTCAGTAACTGAAGACTAGCTTATTTTGGTTTTATGATAAACTCAACAGGAAGAAGCTCTCCTGATCACACACATTTGAGTTGATATTTTTAAGCGCTCCATTTTCCTGGCTTTCTAAACACCAGGTGAAAGGAGTAGTTCGTACTCAACAAAACAGTAACTGACTACATATGGTTAGACCATGTGC